TTTCCCCCCCCCCCTCCACTTTTCTGTTCTAATAGTTGTGCATGCCCCCTTGGCACAGTTTTCATGTGTATGTGTCAGATAAAATGTCTCGATGTAGATGTTATTTCTCTACTTTATATCCTGGAGTGTTTGGGTTCAGATTTTTGTCCATTGACCAGCTATCCTCACAGGTTATGGGTTTCCTCAGTCCCTTTCTAAAAAAAAAGGTGTTTGCTACGAGTATCAGTGAAGCTGCATTGATCACAATAGTCGGTCACTGGGCCAGGATTTGAACTTGGGACCTCTCCAATATGAAGCAGCGCTCAGTGACATTGTATAAAATTGTAAAGGAATAGGCTGTGATGTCTGGTCTGTAAGTCGAACAGCAGTGCATATTTCAATTGCAGGGCAAAGACTGCGTTCTGCATGTCAGATTGGTATGGTTCACGTGCTTGACACTAACTTTGCACTTCACAAGCAGGTAGGAAGCTGTTCAAACACTAGCTTCCTAATCATTATCCTGCTGCTGTCTGTGGAGCCTCAGTGTTTACAGATTTCCTGCTACAGTGATTTTATTTTGTTACAGGGTGTAGGGAGTTGAGGTCTGGTAACTAGATAAACTGTATATTGGTAGCGGCTTGAATTGTGTTCTGGTAGTTTCATTTTCTGTTCAAATATATAATATAATTCAAGTCTATACACAAACTTTAAATTGTTGATGTTAAAATTTAAAATTAATATTGATATTTTGCGCTATTCATCGTTATTACGATGTTACAGTATTGCGCTTTATACTACTACATGTTTCGATGTCATAGCATCATCTTCAGTTTTTTTATCTTTAAAACTACTCTATATTTTTAATGCAAGTTTTTCATTTATTATATTTGTTTTGTAGATTATTATAGTAGGTGTTCCGTTGATCTTCTTATTATTTGCATTTTATGTTTTGTTTTTCATTATTCTTTGGATATTGTCGTATAGATCTATACGACAATATCCAAAGAATAATGAAAAACAAAACATAAAATGCAAATAATAAGAAGATCAACGGAACACCTACTATAATAATCTACAAAACAAATATAATAAATGAAAAACTTGCATTAAAAATATAGAGTAGTTTTAAAGATAAAAAAACCTGAAGATGATGCTATGCATTGAAACATGTAGTAGTATAAAGCGCAATACTGTAACATCGTAATAACGATGAATAGCGCAAAATATCAATATTAATTTTAAATTTTAACATCAACAATTTAAAGTTTGTGTATAGACTTGAATTATATTATATATTTGAATTTTAAAACACAAACATGACGCATTTAAACTATAAACTTCATTTTCTGTGTGATAATGAAAATAAGGAGAACAAATTCACACACACAGTACAAATGACACAAAAATAGGGCACAGAAGTGATTTTATCTACAGGATAAGGGTTAAGCATTTAATTATGAATTATATTGCACTGCCTATGGGCAAGTCCTCATTGAGGAAGTTAATAATGATGGTCACTTTTTTTGTAGCTCATTAACTATTCAGAATTTCTGTCATGTAATACTTATCACTGCAAGTTTCATGTTTTAGAAAGTGTAAATAATATGCAGAGAAGTTTATGTAAATACATACTTTATTTCGGTACGAAGCTGTGCAGGATTTTGGTACTCTCTCAGTGCATGTCTTGAGAGTGCCATATTGCCACTGAGACAAATATGGATGTCAGGATCAGGTTACATGCTGTCAGTAACAAATAGTTTGCAATTAACTATTGACTAGAATCTTGTGTAAAGTGATAGGAGGGAAAATAAACAAAAGAAATGGAAATGGCAGACCAGAGTAGCCTAACAGAAATTACGTAATATCTTTTATGCTGGCCAGGGACACTGCAGTGTACCAGTCCGCGGATTATGATATGTGGGATTACACAATCCTCCCTATGAAGCTCATTTTTTTTGTGACAGTTGGCAACACAAAAATATTTTGAAATGTTGGCACACCTAAGTGTATGTAATCATCAGATGTCACTTGGCCAGTATAATAATCTGACACGTGTCATGGATATGGTGTGTTCATATTTTATAGCAATATTTGAAGAAATTTCTTTACAAGAAGGGCAATTTAAATTCCGTTGGTCTAGCGGTTAGAACGCTGGCCTTGTAATCTTGGGGTCTCGGGTTCGATTCCCGGCGGTGCCCGAATTTATAACTTGTGTTGGGCAAGGCCGTGGTCTAGGCAACACGGAGTTTTCCTCCGTGGCATCCCAACAATTACTCCATTCACACACAGAAGAAGGCAATGGCAAACCACTTCTGGATCATCTGCCAAGAACGTATATGAACAGGTCCCATTCCGAGAAAAGGATGGAAGGATCCTGTTCATATGGACCTGTCGTCAAACAGAACACTAAATAAAAAAAAATAAACAGTATAAGTGCTTTGAGTTTTACTGTTTGGGAAAGTAATTGTTATATTCTGCAGTAACAGGTTATGTTTGTGTTAGATGTTTGTGTTCCTTGCTCCTTTACTCTATCACCAGCCGGTATATGCTGTCTGATTTATCTACTTAATTTAACACCAGAAAGTACTTTATGTTCTCTGGCCTGTACACGAGAGACAGAATTGCTCAGTTTTGTAATGTGACCGAAAGGTTTCCCATCTGCTTGTGAAACAGCTCTTTATGGTTTTGGTGAGTTTAAGAGTTGCATTTGGCAGTACTCGCTGTGCTTTCTGACTAATGTATGCGTATCCCGAGAGTGCCAGTTTGGATGTGATTCTTTTTGTTTTGCAGCCGTGGGATCATCTAGACCTTCTCCCAACCCCAAGGAGCATGGTAAGTTCATTTGAAGTGTTGGGGTGGGATGGCATGGCTGCATTACTTCTCTTGCTACTTCGGCTGTGAAAGTTCCTTCGGGACGTAAAGCTGACTAATTATCTCTATCTAGAGCTGAGGTTAGGAATGCATGGAGCTGTACCACCACTTTAAATTGGGTGTAGTGATCTGTGAGGTGTTCATTTAATGGGTTGAGAGAGTATGAAAACTTCAAAATTCTCTTGGGCTATGAGCAACGTCGAATGCCATAATAACGGGATGAACGTTATTAATTCTGTCAGTAATATGAGTTATTTAAGAAGTTGGTTGACAGTGTTTGAGTTTGTATCTGAAGTAGCAAGAAAAGCGCTGTAGTTTGGAAGTGGGTTACCATCTTTTCAGTACCCCAAGTCCAGACAGTGGGTGAATATTTCTATTCTTTATTGATATTGGTGTTGGGTTGTGAAGTCCAGAAAGTAGATGGGATGACCACATTGTTCTGCTGCTCAGAGCATCTGCCGTGTAGGTACATTTCCATGTTCAGACCTGTTGCAATAAAACTTCTTCTCTGATAAAAACCTGAAATCAGACCCCTGTATGGCGGATACTTAACTCCAGAAGCGTGCTTGTCCCACTTATTGTAGATGAGTTAACATAGACTGGTGAAAAGTACATTTCTAGTTTTGTCTAAATGTGAATGAGTGGAGTTTTTTTAAGTGTCTAGGTGATTTAAGAAGGCATGGGGTTTAGTATTTTTTCCTGTGGGAGGTTATTGTGGTCCAGGAATGCTCCTTGGATGTAGGAAACAAGAAAAACTTTCATGATTTTGGAAGGAAAATTTGGAAAGTGATGGATGGTAGGGAAATTTTTAGAGGATGGTAGCTAAATTTGGAAAGTGATGGATGGTAGGGAGATTTTTAGAGGATGGTATGGGTTAACGTTTTTGTTCATATTCATGGGCTTTGGTACGAGTGGTACCTTGTGTTCCTGCTGCTAGTTGGTTGATTAGTTTATTTACTTTGTCACAGTGTGTACGCAGCACTAAGAATCCATGGGTACCAGCAGAGAACAGAAGTACTGGCTGCAGATGTACTAGTTTTGAGCCAGGTTTGAATCTCAAAAGAAGGAAGGTTCTTTTGTGTTGCTCGTAGAATGTATAAGACTCCACCACTTGTTTAAATGTCATTAGCACAATTAAAATAAATTATAAATATACCAGTCATGAAACTTATTTTGAGCGCTGTAGTTATATCTTTTATTGGGTTTTTAAGGTATAAACTCTTTCATACTTCTGTTTCTTTGGGAAAGGGAAATGCCATTAAGATTCACAGATGAAATTCATTTATAAAATCGGACTTCTTACAGTTTAGTGCTCGTGTGTTACATCATTTCTTTCTGTATCGTGAAATGTAATTTGATGTCATTGTTCACACCCCACAGTTTGACGCTTTTATCATGATTGGATTTTGCATGTCTGGACCTTAAATCTCTAGTTTCATGGAAAATTTTAATGGTGATTCTCTATTCTAATAATTTATCACCCATGAGTTTTATGAACAGATTATTAATGGCACAAAACTGCTGTATCATGTTCCTACTTACTGGTATTTTATTGTGATTCCATAATTTTTAGGCCTACTTTATTTAATTGTGCAGAGTAAGTTTGAGTCAGAACTGTATATAAGCTAGGAATTAAAAATGTTGAATTACGGAGGAACTTGTAAGGTTTTGAAAATTAGGTGCAGGATGAATTTTTGTGGGCTACAATTTGAGAAACACTGGTATTTGAGTTGGCAATTCTGTTTCTTACTTTGTTGACATGTTGTGTGGTACATTGCAGTTTTATGTGATTGTGTGTTTTGCAGGTGAGGGCAGTTCTGGCAGTGAAGATGAGAACTCCGAGGATGATTCAGATTCGCGGGACCATGCATACAGGTGTCACCACTGTTTCACTACGAGTAAGTCCTTTATCTTGTGCATCCCAGAATATTTGGGAAGGGAGTTCAGAAATGTGTGAGAACCTTTAAACATCCCCCCCGCCCCAAGAAAACTGTTTTGTTTGTAGCTAACAGATTGTAAATATCACAGATACAACCTTGTAAGTAATTACAGTCACTATCTTTGTCATGCAAGATGTCACCCAAGAGACTGATCTGTAGTGTTGTGGTGTGTCATCATTCCTGTATGAGCTTCAATGTTGGATGTTATATTTAGAAAATTTTGCAAGTTATTATATTCTTAACCATAAATTAACATGTTTTAGAGTTTTTACATCATTATTATTTACTGAAATGCACATATGTCATGGTTGAGTGGCTATCACTGCTGCTGTTTATTCAGGAGGTTCCATGTTCAGCTCAGCCTAAAGACTTGTTTTTGTAGTTTTACCACAGTCTTTCCAGGTGAATGCTGGAACATTACCTTAGAATAGACCACTTCCTTTGACATCCCTTGTTGATGCAGAGTAAATATGTTCCTTCAGATTCGCGGGACTGGCAGCCCTCTGGAAAGGACCGTCGGACACTCCTGTGTTCTGACTGCCGAGCCTATTGCAAAAGGTATGGGGAACTGCCTCCCGTTACTGCAGCCGGGAATAATGCGCGCGGCGATACACCGTATCTTTTCCGGCCTGTTCAGACAGACTCGCCTGATGAATGTCCAGGCCGGATGAGGACTCGCACTAGAGCTAAAGAGCAGGTGAGAAGTTGTCATATCATGCCTCTTACTTTGGTCATTGTCACGGCATTTTGATTAATTTGTGCATGGTAGTGCAAGAAGTACATTTGGGAACTTGATTTGTATGGCTTCTACATTTTGACACTTTCAATACACATAATCAGATTCTCTCTCATACTGCATCTAACTTGTTTTCCCCAATCTTTTGTGATTCATGCATGGGTCAGTGAAACAGCAGCGGGCCGCTCGTCTGTCTCACATTTTACGTTAGAAGTAATGGTCTGTTTAGCGCATTATTCCTAATACATCTAAACATGTTTATTTACAGCAGGAAAATTAATGATGATCTTCATTAAAAATATCAAAGCGACATTATCCATGTTTAACATTTGGCATTAAAAATCATTTGCAGTGACTTGGGGAATAGTTAAAGTGGTCAGAAATTGCTCATTGATACATAACTGAAAGGAAACTAAGTGACAAGTAAGTGACTGATGAGACCACAAAGACTGTTTGGTCAGAGAAACAGAAAACTGTAAATGCATTTTTTTTTAAACTAGATTTGTGAATGAGCAATGTTCCATTCATGACTGGATGAAGAATGCCGATCCAGTCCGTCGCAGCCTTTTGTTTTCCTCTCATAGTTCCAGATACGTTTGCAAAATGACACAAATTTTTTGCATGAAATTGATTGTTACATTTTGCCAACAGTGCTACATAAAATAGGCTGAAAAGTTGATTTCCTAAATGGAAACTGAAACACGTTCTGAAAAGTAATATCTTTGGTTCAAATCCAGCAAAGTGTCCTGCCAAGGAATGAAGTTACAGTGAAATTGTGATTGATTAAGTTGATCAGTAGCATTGAAACATGTGTACTGAGCGTTTGCAGTGAAAATCCAAAATACTGAAGAGAAAAACCTGTACCATTTCATCCACCATAAATATCAAAAGGACAGTACATGGAATTGAACCTGAGTCACCACGGTGAAAAACTGCGGTATGGCCATAACAGATGCAGAGTTTCAAATTGTGTTTCAGGTGGCAGTATGTGAGAGATGTACTTAAACCAGGCAAGTTTAATTTTACATGTCAGCTGAAACATTGCATACAGTATTTCCCAACTTTATTTTTACACAAGTCTGTGCGCACATATGAAAGACTGCTTTGAAATTGCAGAATGGTACTATACATATACACTTGTTGCACGTCCGACACCCAGTACATGACATGTTGCAGAATGCACGTAACCGCCCAAAACGTGGCAGTGGTACAGACACGCCAGAGAGCGAGATGGACAAGAAACCGTGCAAGTCTCCAGCCAGCAATGCTTCCTCTCCCAGTGACAAGAACAAGAAGAAGGTTGGTGGTCGGAACTCTTGAGAATGCGGGCCACATTTTGTTTGTAACTTCACCAAATCACATGCTTGGCTTGTTATGTGTATGCAAAGGATTCCAATGTGCTTAGTGTTTGCTCGGTGTTTCCGTAATATGTGGCAGTTGGGGACTTCGGACCGTCTTACTTTTGCGGTCTGTTGTTTACCCATTGAAATAGAAATGGGTATAAATAATAATGAAAAATTTGTTTTCTCCCTCAAAATTCAGTGTCTACCATTACAAATATTATTTGGTTAATGCTGTTTGGGGAAATATTTGCTGTTTGTGCTGAGAATTACACAAAATTCATAAACACACTCTTTGTGCAAACTGTATACTTTGTTGAATATCAAATTGCTGATATGGGAGTTGCTATAAGGGAGCTCACAATTTATACATGTTCTTGTACTGCAGCTACACTATATGAGATTTGAAGTTTTCTTGTATGTGAACGTGGCAATTATGTTCCTCTGGGTTGTGATGCGATGTAGTCGTACAGATCATTTCAAATGTTTTGGTGCAATGAATCTCCTCCATCTTCGTTGTTTACATGGCTCAGCCCTGAAGATTGAGGGCAGAGGTGGTAAGTTCTTCTGAAGTGTTGGTAACCATCTACAAGACTACTGTGTCACAACACAGAAGACCACAATTTGTACAAAATTATGGTAGCTGAAAACAAATTTGGAAAGGGTTTTCTGTTATGAGTTGGATTAGGAAAGCATGCGTATCTTTGTGTGATCGAAGTTAATAAATATTTGAGCTACAGCCCCCCCCCCCCCCCACCCCAA